TCCTTTTTTTTTTTTTCTCTTCCCCTCCCCTTCTTTTTTTTTTTTTTTTTTTTTTTTTTTTTTAGTCCGAGTGATGGTCCAGCCACGATGCAATTTTCTGTTTTTTTGTTCCGCAGACAATCATTTTATTCGTAAGCACCTTTTTTTCTACACTTCTGTCACTGCCTGTGTGGGTACTGGTTATAAATGTGGAAAAAGAATAGTTATGACTGTAACAGATTTTTATTTTTATTTCAAAATTTTATATGAATTATGTATATCTTAATGATGCGGTCATTTTCCCAGTTTGTAATATATGTGTAGAAATGCTTGTATATGATATTTGCTCTCCTCTTTCTTCCTCCCCTCTCTCTATCTCCCTCCAGTCCTTTCTCTCTCTCTCCTTTTTATTTTCCTTGACTCGGTGTTCCTTGCACAAACTTAGCCGTCAAAATCTGACGTGCTAGGTTTCCAAAAGGGACCTCAGCGATAGAAAAAAAAAAAAAAAAAAAAAAAAAAAAAGAAAAAGAAAAAAAAAGCTTAGGGTGCAACTGTAGTTATCTTATGCAAAAGCTATTTTGAGTATTTCATAGCAGCTTTGGGGGGTCTCTTAAACTCCACGTAGGACGCTTAAACTATTGTTTCCTTAACTGCGTGTTTATCTATATGTACAAACTTTCTAAATCAAATACAGTATTCCATTTTCTTATCTACCCAGCGATGTTGGTGTTTCTGTCCGCCACGGAAAATCACTCCTTCCCCGTGGGCTCCTGGCCCCTCTGTCTGTCCCGCCGCGGGGTGCGCAGCGCTGCGCGGCCCCTGCGCCCCTCCGGCCCCTGCCTTCCCCGGCTCGGCGGGACACCCCGGAGGGATCTTACAGGGACGGAGCGACCCTGCGAGGAGGCTGCGGGCGGCAGAGGGGACACAGTGCTGCGGTAGCGGCGGCGGCGTAAGGCACGGCCGTGTCCCTCCGTGTCCCCTCCGCCACGGCGGGCTCCATCGTTTCCCCTCACCCCGGTCATTTTTTTTGTGCACTGCGGGCGAAAAAGCTTTCTCCGACAGCCTGTCTGCAAGGATGGGTGTCTCCAGAGAGCGTTTAAGACATTTCGGGATTTGTTTTGTAGCTTTAAATGAAAACAAAAACAAAAACTCCTCGCCCTTAACGGGTTGCAGCTCCTCCCCTCGAATCCGGAGTATATTGTAATGTGCTGAAAGAAGCCTTTATTTGCATGACTAACAGTATTTCAGCATCTTTCTTTCTTTCCTTTTCCCTTTTTCTTTCTTTTTTTTTTTTTTTTTTTTTTCCCTTTTTCCTTATGGTTTTGCTTTGCCCTGGGCAGATTTTTCAGTCGTGAATTAGCAAGAGGTGAATTTTAAACTTGTTTTTACTTGAAAATACAATTTTGAGTATTACCAGGGATTTAGAGAGAAACGTGCCTGGAATTTCTTGACCTTTTCCAAACTGATATGGTCTTCCGATCTACCTTTGTGTTGCCCGAATCCTCTCTCCCTCTTCCCTCCTTCTTTTTTTTTTTTTTTTTTTTTTTTTTTTTTTTTTTTTTTTAGTGAAGTCCGAGCTAGGTCTGCGGAGAGACATAGAAAGCGCATGGGCTCTTCCCCGCTCCTCCCTTCCCCCCCTACGCCTCAAGAGGCTACCTGTGGATTTGGGAGAACCGCCATAGGGTGCGAGATTTTAGATCAAGCCACTAACGGGTAATTTTAAAGAATAAACTGATGTGTGAACACGTTCACACACCTGAGGTTCCCCTGAGGAAAAGCCGCGCGTGTGAGGGCAGTGAGCACGTAGGGAACACGTCCCCGCGTGTGGCGGGAGCCCCCGCGCTGAGGGACCCGCAGGGCCCGAGGCAGCGCCCGCCCCGTCCCGCTTCGCCTCCCCCGCCCCGCGGGCTCCGCTCAAGGCGCCGGGTCCTCCCCACGGGCAGCTCCGGCAGCGCCACTGGCCCGTCGCCAACACGAGTGGGGAGTTAATAGAAAATAAATTCCCTTCGTACGAAACTGAAATGGACGGGAATCGCCTGGGGGCAGACACACAATAGGGCTACCGTGTTCCGCGTGGGTGCTGTGACGGACCTAGTTCTTCCCCTCCCCCACGCGGCTTTTTGAAGGGAAAAATATTACCCAGCAGGGGATACAAGGTTCCCCAGTGGCCGGCACCCTCACCGGGTCTCACGCTAGAGCTTGGGCTGCTTTTTCTCTCCCCACCGGCAGAGAGGCAGTGGAGAGGCCTTTAGAAGAACAAACTGGCTTTCCAGTCACCCCCAGTTCTGGGTAGGAAGATCTTTGATGTCGGTACATTGTTTTTAAGGGCAGTATTTCTGTTTCTTTCTGATAGCAGCGTTGTTCTCATCCGGCATTGTTTTTAACGGAATTTAATACCTGAAAGGATTCAGAGGCGTGAAAGTTTGGGGCATACTTTTTTTTCTTTCTTTTCATTTTCGCGTCTCGAAGCTGCAGCTAGAAGGCGTCAAGCCGGCAGCAATAATCTACCTCAGCTCAGCCTTACACTGATAGGTTCGGATATTTCTTCCCTCTGATTAAGCCTCCCGAATATCGCCTCGTTGCGCCGTGGCTGCTAGGGGAGGCCAGAGATCGCCCTTAGCCTCGCCCCACTGGTATCTGGCCTTAGGCTCCAGCATAGCTTAAGCTGAAGGGCAGGGCCTTTACTCTCCCGCCCCATTTGTCACCCCCATTCCCAAAAAGTTGCTCCTTCGGTCGGATCCCCAGCCCAAACTCGAAGAGGTAGCTGCCCCAGCCGCGCTGGAGGTGTCCGCCTCTCCCTGGAGCCGGTGGGGCTTGTGGGGGGAGAGGACACATCTCATACAGGAGGCGTCAGTGCCTGCATGGTTTCGGGGTGCCGAGGGTGCAGCTAATGATATGCCGCTTCAAAGCCGGGCTTCGTAATGGATAAATGATGTTGTTTTAGGATTTGCATAAAAAACCTGAATGGCTGATTGAGGTGTAAATCTATGAAAAGCTGTGTTTAAGCCTTCTCGCCCACTAAGTCCATCTGCCCCGGGAAGATAGGGCCTATCGAGCCCCACCAAACCCGAGGGCTGCCTCCTCCCTGCCCCTGGCCCGGCATTATCCACAGGCCCTCTCCAGCATTAGTTTGTTATCCGCGCCGAGCCCGGCCACTGATTAAGATGAAATTACTCAGAAGCTGAAGTGCGTCTGATCAATATTTAAGAGAAAGCCGGAGGACAGGAGGCAGATGGCCGGAGCCCGGCAGCCCAGCGAGCTGCCTCCCCGGGAGCCGGTCGGGGCGGCCCCGCTCTCCCGGCCCGCGCCGTCCCGCACCGCCGCCTCTCGCCCTCCGCCGCGGGGGCACTGCCCCGCCCCGCCCGTCGGAAGTCGGGCCGAGACCAGCCGGTTCCGGAGCAGTTTGGAGACGATAGTTAACCCCCTCACCACCCACCCCTCGCCTATAACACTGCTGTAACACTGCCTTCATTCCCAGCTAGCTCCGATTTGCGGGTCCACCCGGCGTGGAGGTCTGGGGACCACCGACGCCACCTGCCTCCCTCTCTCCCTCCCTCCCTTCCTCCCTCCCTCCCTCCCTCTCTCTCCGTGGTCTCTGCCCGAGCCCTTTAGAATGGCTGGGGGTCCTTTGTGTGCCTGCTGGGCCGCGGCTGCTGCTGGCCCTCCACGGTCAGGCGTGGGCTTGGGTCACCCCATCTCTCTCTGTCCGATCAATTACAGCAGCCTTTTCGAGGGACTTGGATCTGCTTGCCCGTTGCCCTTAATTTTTAGCATACCCAGATGAGGTTACTGCCCCGGACCGAACTGAAAAGAAATGTGGACGTTGGTGCCCTGGTATTGCTCTGATTTCCTCGGTTAGCTGAGCACAACTTTCTATTCGTGTTTATTCATGCAGTTTCTTATTGAGCTCCACATCGCAGTGGCCTGGATTCCGCGTGTAGGGAGAGGACAGACAGACATTGCCTTTTTCTAGAGCGCACACACGCACACGTGTGTGCAGACTGACACACACCAACACACACGCACACGCACGAGTACAAAATGAAGAGGGTCTGTAGCCACATCACCACCTCGCAGAGAGCCCAGATACACAGAAGTTTGCAAATGGTGTATTAAAAAGGAGGAAATGAACCAAACCATCCAGTTGCAAACTAAGAATGGAGAAGGCAGGGAGGCGGGTGCCTGTGTGTCTCTGTATGTGCAAGAAGGAGTTGGGAAGGGAAAACACTAAGGATATTACCGACAATCATGGTAAATATTATTTTCTGGCATGGTAGTGACAAAAGACAAGGGCTGTCGGGTTATAGCTGTGATTAAATGATACGAAAGGGATTTGTGCTGCTGTGTCTGGAGGAAGGAGGGCTGTGAGGTTTTGTTTTCGATGCTGTTCTTTTTTATTTTGAAAGTAAGGTGATTTCAGAACAGGAGGCTTCGAAGTGGCTTGGCACCTCGCGATCTGCAAGAGAAGGAAGATGCTAAAGAGTATTGAATAAAATGTAGATGTAAATACCTCTAAGTGCATGGCTAGAATCACCTC